GCCAGTCCAAAGGTTGGAATCCTCTTCGAAGAAGAAAAATGGATACTCTCCTCCTGTGCGACTTGCAGGCTTTGAAAACCCACTGGAGGGTCTGCTATGAGTCTCTCCAGACTTGAGAGTAATGAGTGAGTTCATTTTTATACCAGCCACTCAGATTCCCACCACAACATTTAGATGGTCATATTTTTAAATTATAATCAGACTCCCCATTACCATCACACTGATTCAAAGCTGATGCTCTATTAGATTTTGGGCCTCTATAAACCCTATGGCGGGAGATTTGCCCATCTTCCTCCCATAGAACAGCTAATGGATTCAAACCTTCAGAGAAGAACTAACCTTGGGAAAATGGCACAACTCCCTACAAGCTATGCCTCCCTATAATTTGACTAGCTATTGCTATTGCTTTGAACATGTTCTAGGAATATTTTTCATAATTTGAGTTGTTGTTAGGTACCCATGGAGTTGACTACAACTCATAGCAACCCAATAAATTGATCTGAACTTGGCCCTGTCCTGTGCCATCTTTATCATCTCTTACATACATGAACTAGTTGCTACAGTGGCTGTGTCAATCCATTTTGCTGAAGGTCGTCTTCTCTTTTACAAACGCCCACCTTTCCAAACATAGTGTTGTTTTCCAAGGACCAGCCCTTTCTAACAAGACCAAAGTCAGAACTAACCCTTCAGGAGGTTTTCAGTAGCTGTCATTTGGATTGGCAGGGCCAATTCCTTTACCACTCCCTAGGAGAGGCCCATAGAAAATTTCAAAGCTAACAGTTTGTTTTACTTAATAAACTTGCTAAGAGAATTGATGCCTTTAAGATGCTGTGCTGGAGAAGAGTATTGAATATACTTACCATTAACTCTCAGTACAACAAACAGGTACATCCTTGTTGTTGTTATGTGCCATTAAGTTGCCTGCAACTCATAGTAACCCTGTGTACAACAGCCCTAAACCCTGCTCAATCCTGTGCCAATCTTATTGTCTTTGACACACATATCCTATTACCCTAGTCACTCATCAATCCATGTAATCGAGGTTCTTCCTCTCCTTCACTGTCTCTCCACCCTCCCAAACATGATGCTGTCGTCTCCAAGGACTGATCCGGTCTTGCAGCTAATCCAAAGTATTTCAGACGAAGCTTCAGAGTCCTTACCTCCAAGGAGCAGCTTGACTTCACCTTCTCCAGGATGAACTTGATTTTTCTCCTAGCAGTCTATGGTGTATATTCAATGCTCTTCTCCAGCACCACAGCTCAGAGGCATCAATTCTCCTTCCGTCATCTCTAGTGACTTTCCAGCTCTCTGATGCATAGCAAGTGATTGCAAAGACTATGTATCAGGTGTGTACGTTAGTTTCCAGACTGACATCATTGCTCTTTAGTACTTTGGAGAGGTCTCTAACAGCAGAATTTCCAATGCAGTATGTCTTTTAATTTCCTGGGGGCCGGTACCAAGAGTTTTGATTATGGAGCCAAGCAAACTAAAGCTATTTTCGGTCTCAGTCTCTTCACCATCCATCACGATGCTGCCAATCGACCCAGTGGTAAGAATCTGTTTTCTTGATATTGAGCTTTAATCCATATTGGAAGCTGCAGTCCTTAATCTTCTGGAGCAAGCGTTTCAGGTCTTCCTCAGTTTCAGCAAGCAGAGTTGGGTCGTCTACATAATGCAGATTGTTGATGAGTCTTCCTCCAATCCTGATGCCACATTTCTCCTCATAGAGCTCAGTCTCCCTGATAATCTGTTCGGCATATAGATTGAAAAGGTATGGAGATCGGACAAATCCCTGGTGTACACCCTTCCCAATTTAGAACCATGCAGTGCTCCCTTGCTCTGTTTTGACGACTGCATAGCACGATCAGGGCTCATTCATCCTAGAGAGGGTGAAACCAGGCTGCTCCTTGGAGGCAAGGATTCTGAAGCTTTGTCTGACATACTTTGGGCATGTTGCAAGGAAGGGCCTGTCGTTGGAGAGCGGCATTATACTTGGGAGGGTGGAGAGACAGCGCAAGAGAGAAAGACCGTTGATGAGATGGATTGACTCAGTGACTGGTGTTATGGGTAGTTGTGTCAGAGACAGTAAGATTGGCACAGGATAGAGCAGGGTTTAGGGCTGTTGTTCATAAGGTCGTTATGAGTCGTAGGCAAGTTGATGGCACATAAAAACTACAATGGATAGATAATTGTTTCTTTTTGCTAATGTCTTAAACATACTTCTTAAATATTCTTTATAATTTGCTGAAATTATTTGTGTATAGTCTCATAATTTGTGAATTTTTTAATAGAAGACCTTCATTTGCTAATGTGGCAAGACTAAAAATGAAAAGGAAAAACTAAGCATCCATTAAAAATTGGATGATAGTATGTATAAAGTATGAATCTAGGAAAATGGGAAATCATCACGAATGAAATGGCACACATTGTAGCAATAAGTGAGTTGGGATGGACTAGTATTGGCCATTGTGGTATTTGCCTAAAATTTGGCTATTTTTAGCCTTTAGTTAGCCTTCTCTGGTTTCCAGTTACCTTAACATGGTCTTGTAAATCATGAACAGGCGTGGGAATAGGATAAAAGAAAGAGTGTGTTTACATATACAGGGCGGTAAGACTTGAGGTGAGCAAGGCCTCTGCTGGCAAGATTCTGGTGATGGAGAGACTGGCACTGTTGTGGGCAAAGAGTGACGAGGTGTGATCTGAGGCAGCATATGTGATTTGGCAGTTCTTACTGGATGTTTGAAGGGGAAGCTGACTTATAACTGCTCAGAGGCAAACCTTGCTGGATGATTTGGTTGTAACTACTTTGAGGCAAACCTTGCTGGATAATTTAGATGTAATTGCTGAATCGAAACCAGAGCTTCGGCTTAATGAAGAATTGTGCCTTGGGAACTGTTGGACTAAAGCCTGGACTTGTATTGTGAGATAGTCTTTGCTTCCCCCACGCACTTCCCCTAATAAGCCTCATTGTTGTTACCATAATGGTGAACCTGTGAGCCAGCAACAAATAAAAGGACCTCTGCTGCTGGGGCTCTAGAGGCACCTTGGGGCTGGGCTATAGGCTCTTTATCTGCTTTCTGCTCTGTGGCAGTGCTATTCCTACTCCTTCTGACCCTTTACCCCCATATCTTGTTTTCCTCTTTCTGTTGTGTACCATAGAGTTGAAACTGACCCTCCAGTAGTTTTTCAGAGGCAGTTAATTGCATGGCAGGAGATTGCCTGTCCTTCTCCCATGGAGCCTCAAACTGCATCTCTTCGGGATTGCAGCATAGCATCTTGTTACTTGGCCACCAGAGTCTCCTTTTCCCTCTCTAGACAGTCATTTTTAATCATGTCATCTGCTGTATTGGAATGACCAGTTGAAAAGGAATAGTGTCAAATTCATTGTCAAAAAGAGCATTTCAAAATCTATCCTTCCTGAAATATAATGCTGTGATTGGCTACTATGTGTAACATGCAAAGAAGACTAGTTAATACAACTATTTTTCAATATGTGTACCAAACACTATAGCCAAAAATAAAGAAATTGAGGCTTTCTGGCTATAATGATTACAGTTACATAGTTATACTCGATAGCTAGGTTGTAAGCTCTGTAAAGGCCAAGTCTGTGCCTGGTTGTTTTGGTCCTGAAGCTTCAGTACATATCCTGTATTTATAAAAAATAGGTGCTTGTAAACACTACCCCCCCCCTTTAGTTGTTAAACATTAGGCAGTGTTTTCTCATGGCCTAGTAGGTAAGGTGTTGTGCTTCCAACCCAAAAGCATGTGGCCTAAATCTACTAGCTGCTCCTCGGTGGGAAAACTTTGTGATTTCCAGCTTGTGAAAACGATCTGGAGGTTCAGTCTTGGTTCTGTCTCAATGATGACTGAGTGAGAGATAAGTAAGTGTCCTTGAGCATGGAAACAGAATTTTGAGCTGCTTTTCAAAGGAAAGATTGCATGGTCCAAGATCAGGAAAGGTGTGTGTCGGGATACATCCTGTCTCCATACCTTTGTAATCTATATGCAGAACAGATCATTCGGGAAGTAGGGCCTTATGAGGAGGAATGTGGTGTCAGGATTGAAGGAAGACTCATTAATAACCTATGTTATGCATATGACACAATTTTGCTTGCTGGAACCTGGGACGACATGTAGTACTTGATGCAGAAAGTCAAGGACTGTAGTCTTCAATATAGATTGAAGTGCAATTTAAAGTTTCTTACCACTGGGCCAATTGGCAGCACAATGATAGATGGAGAAGAGATTGAGGTTGTTAACAATTACAGCTTGCTCAGCTCCACAATCAACACTCTTGGCACCAGCAGTCAGTAAATTAAAAAAATTAATTGCATTAGGAAAATTTGCTGTCAGTGACTTCTCCAGAGAACTGAAATGCAGTAATGCAATAATGTCAGTCTAGAGGTGTGTCTAATCCAGGCCACAGTCTTTGCAGTTACTTGCCATGCATCAGAGAGCTAGACATTGACTAAGAATGACTAAAGAAGAATCGATGCCTGAAGAAGAATTGATGCCTATGAATTGTGGTGCTGGAGCCTTGAGCATACCATGGGCTGTCAAGAAACAAATCGATCTTCCTTGGAGAGGGTGAAACCAAGATTCTCCTTGGAGGCTAGGTTTGTGAAGCTCTGCCTCACATACTTTGGGCATGTGGCCAGGAGGCACTGGTCTTTGGAGAAGGAGGGTTGGTGTGTTAGAATCAGTGAGACTGGCTAGAACAGGGCAGGCCTCAGAGATGCTGTACATAGGGTTGCTGTGGGTCACAGGTGACTCGAAGGCACATAACAACAGCAACAACAACAACATCTCAAATGTTGGCAGTTTGAGCCTGTGTAACTTCTCCATGGAATAAAGATCTCACCGTTGACTTCTGTAAAGATTGCAGCCAGTGAATACTTTAGGAAGTCCTCCTCTGTCAAATGGGGTCATTATGAGGTGAAAATGAGTAACAGTACCTTACAACAACTACTTACCTGTCATGTGTTTTTCTTCACTTTTAGCCTAAAACACTAAAAGGAAAAAGTGGAAGACAGGGGAAAAAAGTCATCCATCCATATAGTAGAAAAGCAGGTCAAATTACAAGAGAGGCTCACAAACAAGGAAGAAAGGAAAAGTAAGTCTTTTTGTCATTTGTGTTAGGCGTTGGTGAAAAGCCTATGCATACATTTATCCTTTAAACACACATATTCCAACTTTTGTTTGGATATTCTGTATTCTAAACACTGTGGGTAAAACATTGAATAAGGAAGGACTCTGTTCTAGAGCTTACATAAAATAGATATATTTTAGAAGTGTGTGATGAGTACAGTTAAAAATTCTCCTGTGGGTCTATAAACTTTTTTCTATTTTCTTATTTTTGCTGCAGTATATAACCTTTGTTAGTACAAAGACAGCTGACCTTTTGCTTATTACTATGTCTCCAGGAGCTAGCATTAATTCTCACAGAGAATAGCTTTTGAATGGCTAGTGCTTAGAGTATCAGTACAAGAAAGCATTTTTCTTTTTTTTCTTCTGGGCTGCTGGACTGCCCTTTGAGAATGAGTTCTTTTCTTTGTTATATTTCTTTTAGAATTCAAATTGTAAATAATAAGCTTTCTGTTTTGTTCTTTGAAGTCTAAAAGATAATTATAGATAATCTTTGTGATTGTTTTCAATATTAACAAAGTATTCAGTACTCCTTTGTGTACATGTATTAGGCATATTTCACCATTATAAAAACATTTAATATTCCTTCTTAATCTAATCAAATTTTCCTTTGCAATTTAAAATTAGTTGACTCTTTAATTATTAAATAGCTAAAAATAAGTTTGTAATATAAACACCTTGTTTCCATGGCATTCATTGTTTCTGTATTAAAAAAATTAATTTCATATGTGAAACAAAATTAAATTGTAGCTCTTTAGACATTTTATCCTTTTTGTTTTTCAACCGACTTTTAAATTGTTTTGGAAATTTTCTAAAATTTATGTGATACACATTTTTCTTTCAAGATTGAAGAATGAAAAAGCTTTGCGTCTCAACATTATTGGTAAGTAGATTTATTTATTTGAAATTCAAGCTAAAATACAATGAAGTTGTTACCTGTTCTTAATTTTTTTATTTCTTTCTTTTAATCTTTTCTGGTGAAATATTAGGGTTCCCCTCCTCCTGATTTTTTTAAATTGTAATTTGAGTGAAAGTCTATAAGCAAAACTATTTAACCATTCATGTACATTTTATTTTATACATTTCAGTACTTACAATAGAATCACATTTTCTCGCTTCCTTCCTGTAATTGATTTCCATTTAATCTTTTTATACTTCTCAGTAGCTTTTCTCTTTAGTGCTGTTGTGCTGTCCTTTACCATCACCTGTCTTAAGATGTGTCTGTTACTTATTTACTCATTTTTACACCCATCTCCCTCCTTTCTCATCCCCATTAACCATCCAAGAATAATTCTATGTATGTGTAAATCGTCTTTAGCTTTTTATAATAGTGGTCTTATAGAATATTTGTCCTTTTGTGATCAACTTATTTCACTTAGCTTAATGTCCTCTAAATTCATCTGTGTTATGCAATATTTCAAGAATTGGTTTCTAGTGTTGTATTCTTTAGTTTTTAGTGTTGTACTGTCATGTACAATGTACCATAGATTTTTTTCATTCATTCATTTGTTGATAAGACACTTGAGTCATTTCCATTTCTGTACTGTTGTAATAATGCTACAATGAACATGAGTGTGGATATAACTGCTATTGTTGCAGCTCTTATTCTGTTAAGATACATACCTAATTGTTACATTACCCATCAAATACTATTTCTGTTTCTCACTTTCTGAATAATTGCCCAATTGCCTTCAGTCATGGATGGTCACATCATTTTACAGTTCCATTAACAGTGTATGGGAGTTTCAGTCTCTCCACAACCTTGCTAGTACTTATTGCTTTGCTCTTCTTTTTGGAATGAGATGATACCTTACTCCTGTTTTGAGTTGCCTTTCTTTAAATTCTTGCTTTCCTTTGGTGAGCTATCTTTTCATGTCCTCTGCCTATTTTGTAATTGGCTTGGCTTTTTTCTGTTGAGGTATTAGAGTTTCCAATAAATTTTAGAGATGAGTACTTTATCACCTATGTCATTGCTGAATATTTTTCCCAAGACTCTAGCTTCTCTTTTATCTTAGAGAAGTTTCTTGGTGCACATAGGGATTAAGTTTTTAGAAAGTCCCAATTACCTAGTATATTCTCTACTGATTGTACATTTCAGTTCTATTTCTTAGTCTATTTATGCCATAAGTCATGAATCCTAAATTTACCCTGTCTTTTTCTTTGCTAATCTTTATAGTTTCAGGTGTTAGCCTAGGTCTTTGGTGAATCTTGATTAGATTTTTAAATATAATATGAGTAAAGGATATTGTTTTAGCTTTTTATAAATGTTGTTGTTATGTGCCCTCAAGTGTCCTGTTACCTGTAAGTCCCCTGTGACCCATAGCTACCCTATGTACAGCAGCTCTGAACCCTACCATGTCCTGAGCCAGTCTCACCAACTCTGGCACACCATCCCCCATTGGTCCACTTCCTGTATCAATCCATCTCGTCTGGTGTCTTCCTCTCCTGAGCATCCGTCCAAGCATGATGTTCTTCCCCAAGGACTGTTTTTTTTCCATCCAGGTCAAATAAACAATAGGTACAGAAGAATTATCTCTTCTGCACTTGTCTCTTCTCTAAATTAAAATATGACTGTTGAACTTCTGATAGACTGATCATTACCTTTACACCCACACAATCTTTATCTTTAACATTGAAATAAATATTGGTCTGTTTTAAACACATTAATTTTGAGAAGTATAATGGATACTTCTTTGCTTGAATTATATTAAACTGTCTTGATACTTGTTGTTTATAGGTGAAAAACTGCAGTGGTTTCAAAATCATCTTGAACCCAAAAAAGTAGAGTATTCAAAGAAAGACGCTTGTGAATTAATTGAAAGGTAAACAGTGGGTTTAGAGGTGATAGTCAAAATGTCATATTTAGTAATTGACAGACGTCTACTGTGACTATAATAGCAAATTCAAGGAAGGAAGTATAGCAGTTATAGTTAATGACATCCACTTCATGAAAGACTTCAGGTATCTTTCTAGGAGTTTATACTGAAAATATTCAGATCCATAGGAGGCTTATAACAGAGATGATTATATTTAAGCATTTGATAGGTCATAATAATGAGAGTGAGAATATAGTGAGAGTGTAGAAAGAATAAATCTAGGTAAGAGATGGTGGTGACCTCTGCTTTATTGGTAACAGTGTTGTTGTTCTTGTTGTTATGTGCCATCGAGTTGCTTGCAACTCACAGCGACCCTATGTACAACAGCCCTAAACTCTGTTCTGTCCTGTGCCCATCACACCGTCTCCGATACACTCATCCTGATTACCCCAGTCACTGAATCAATCCACCTCATAGAGGGCTTTCTTCTCCTGCGCTGTCCCTCCACCCTCCCAAGCATGGTGTCCCTCTCCAAGGACCAGTCCCTCCTTACAACACGTCCAGAGTATGTTAGACGAAGCCTCAGAATCCTTGCCTCCAAGGCGCTGCCCGGTTTAACCCTCTCCAGTAGACTCTTTTTGTTTTCTTAGCAGTTCATGGTACACTCAGTACTCTACTCCAGCACCACAGCTCAAAGGCATCAATTCTTCTATCATCCCTAGTCATTGTCCTAGTCATGTCTCTGATGCATAACAAGTGATTGCAAAGACCATGGCCTGTATCAGATGCACCTTAGTCTCCAGAGAGACACCATTACTCTTCAGAACAGTAGATTCTGGTAATGTTCAAAAGGTACAGGTCCAGTATTTAGTAAAAAAACTGGGTGTAAGGTAAAAAAGTGAGGGTTTGAGGACAACACCTCCATCTCTTGCTTGGATAACTGAGAATAGGGAGCCCAACAAGTGGAATGGGTTTATGTGGGATGGAAGAGGCCAGGGCATGAGATGGTCAGTTTTGATGTGTTAAAGGTAAGCTTTCCAGTAGATACTAGAATATGAGGATCCTTGGCTTAGTGGATAGTTTATTTGTTATTTGGTCACTGAAATTTTGGAAATGAGTTATACAATTAAAAGGTAAAATGACTAGAAGATTTGAAGAACCCAGAGAAATATAAAATTGTAAAAGAGAAAGGAAGATTGGGAGTCAAATTTTTGAAGAAATAATGTAACCCCAAGATGTCTTTTAACTAACATAATTTTTTTTTTATTTTTCAGTTATTTAAATCGATTCAAAAATGAGTTGGAGCAGATTGAGTTACATAATAGCATCAAAGACAGACAGGGAAGGCGACACTGTTCCCGGGAGATAGTTATCAAGCAGACGATGGAACGTGAGCGACAGCAGTATGAAGGATATGGACTTGGTGTGTTTACTTGACCTTCTTTCTTAAATATAAAGCATTTCCTATGTTAGATGTGTAATTCATTTCAAACATTTAACAATTTTTTCCTTTTATATAGTTTAGCTCTTTTCCTGTGGATTTTTACCCCCTTTATGAGTAAAGAGATTTAGTCTTTAATTAAAAAAATATTCTCCATTTCACTATTAGTTTCATCCCCATGGCATACCTTATTCCTGGAACAGCAGGTTCTTTCTTTCACTTACGGCATGTATCTAATTTGTTTGTTATAGGGTTATTACTTGCCTATTCTGATCTATAGGTAAATTTCTTTAGCGTGGTACTGTTTCATCTTTGTAAGTCTTCTGATGTCTTGTTATAATTACTATTTTTGAGGAACGATGAAGAGCAAATTTTTATTTACTTTGGATTGCTGCTTAAGTATCAGATGGTTCTATCATTGTAGCAGGTTTTACACACAATTCCTAAAGAGGAGCATATTAATTGGTTTGACCGCATTTTCTAAAAAAAGGAATTAATAAAAAATGATAATTAAAAGACCACAAACTGATGTCTAATGAAAGACTACATGTGGCCTACAAATGGTTGTCCAAGTTTATAAAGTTTTTGAATTGTCAATCAGAAAAATATGGTAATTTTGGTGAAATTATAGATTTCTTGTTTGTTATAAATGTGTTGTTGTTGTTATTGTTATGTGCCATCGAGTCGCTTGCGACTCATAGCGACCCTATGTACAACAGTCCTAAACTCTGCTCTGTCCTGTGCCAATCTCACTGTCTCTGACACTCCCATCCCGATTATCCCAGTCATTGAATCAATCCACCTCATAGAGGGCCTTCCCCTCCTGCGCTGTCCCTTCACCCTCCCAAGCATGATATCCTTCTCCAAGGACCGGTCTCTCCTCACAACATGTCCAAAGTATGTTAGACGGAGCCTCAGAATCCTTGCCTCCAAGGAGCCACCCAGTTTAACCCTTTCCAGGACAAATCTGTTTGTTTTCCTAGCAGTCCATGGTATTCTCAATACTCTTCTCCAGCACCACAGCTCAAAGGCATCAATTCTCCTTCTGTCCTCCTTGGTCATTGTCCATCTCTCTGATGCATAACAAGTGATTGCAAAGACCATGGCCTGTATCAGACGCACCTTAGTCTCCAGAGAGACACCATTGCTCTTCAGTACTTTGGAGAGGTCCCTAACAGCCGACTTTCCCATGGCAGTGCGCCTTTTAATTTCCTGGATGCTGGTGCCAAGACTGTGGAGCCAAGCAAACTAAAGCTGTGTACAATCTCAATCTCTTCACCATCCATCCTGATGCTGCCAATTGGTCCAGTGGTGAGAATCTTTGTCTTCTTGACATTGACAAAAATGTGTAGTTAGCAAAAAAGCAAGTGCCATTAAGTTGGAACCAGCCTATTCAGAATCGACTTGTAGCTAACCCTCCAGAAATTGCATGGGAAGAGATTTCCCATTCTTCTCCATAGGAGTTGCTAATGGATTTGAACTGCCTGCCTTTGGGATGGCAGTGCAACCCCTTACCCTCTGTGCAACCAGTACTTGAAATATGTGATAGCAGTTGGGTGTTTTTAGACCTGGGCCTGTATATCAGGTGTACTGTGATTCTAGTCTTACCTTCTACATTCATGTTCCCTCCTGTGAAGTGAATATTTTGGATGTAAAATCAACAGAGAATTGCTTCAAAAATGCATAGATTTGAACTCAGATACCTCTGACTTTGTGAAAATCTACTGTTCCAAGTCTGTTTTGCCTCAATTCTCCACTGTGTTTCTAAGGTTTTATATCATTACTGGAAGAGTTTGCCTATATTTCTCTTAGGGAACAGCTAGTAAATTCAACCTGTAATATAAGGCCAACCTGTAATATACTTGCTACTGTGGCTTCTGGTTGTTATAGTGGGAAACTTAATTTAACCCTTCTGGAACTCATTTTTCAATCTTAAAAATAAATTATATACGTACTAATTGTTTAAAAGTTAAGTGAAATTTTATTTACATAAATGCCTGGCATAGCGGAGTGTAGGGTAAGGGAAAGCTTCAGCCGTGGTTGTGATACCTAAGTGTTTAACTTCTAAAAGTGAAAAAATTTGACTAGGCCTCTTGTCTCTTCCTCATATGTGCTTTACTTTTGAACACATTTTAGCTTGACTTGTTTCCTCATTACTCAACCAAGAATACTCATCATCTTCAAGTTTCTAAGATAAATAGCCTCTTAAACTGGGTAGTGAATCTTTTTTAGTCAATGTCTGTATATTGTCAGGTGCCACTCAACCTGTGTGACGTGTGTCTGTGTGTTTGTGTAATACGTATCTGTGCAGTATATGTAAAGTGTGTGTGACATGTTTGTGTGTGTGTGTTAGGAAAGAAACCTTACTTGATCTGCTCTCTCCTCACCACTTCTGGTGTGCTCAGCCCTCTAGTAGCAGTCACTGTGTCAGTCCATATCATTGAGGGTTTTCCTGTCATTCACACTTTTCCAAGCTTAGTGGTCATCCTGGGAATTCATCCCAGGATGAGTAAGACCAAAGTCTCACTGCCCTTGCTTCCAAGTATATTCTGGGTGCACTTCTTCCATGACAGATTTGTTTGTTCTTCTGTCAGTCCATACTCTATTTTTCATTCTCTTTTTTTTGCTATCTTTTTAATTTGATATAAAAGACTTTGGTCATTTCTCATTTTCTTAATAATTCACTGACCATGCCTTTTCTGTACAAGGAATAACAGAATAAGGTCTCTTTGTGCTTTATTGATTATGCAGAAGTGTTTGACTGTGTGGATCATGACAAGTTGTGGCTGACATTGAGATGAATGGGGATCCCAGAGCACTTGATTGTGTTCATGCGGAACCTATTCCTGAACCAAGAGACTGTTGTGCAACAGAGCAGGGGAGTGCTACATGGTTTAAAATTGTGAAGGGAGTGTGGCAGTTTGTCTTCCCTCTCCATACCTATTCAGTCTGTATGCTAAGCAAATTATTTTCAAAGCTGGACACTATGAGAAGGAGTGTGGCATCCGGATTAGAGGGGAAACTCATCAATAGTCTGGGAAACAATGTATTTGAAGTTTGTAAATAAACTAATATAATTTAAAAAAGTAAATACTGTCCTAGTTCACTATTTTCTTACACAATAGAACACCTTGGTTTTAAACTCTCTCTCAAAAAACCCCCAAAACAACCTCTGTTATTTTGGTTAGATGACACAACCTTGCTTACCGAAAGTGAGGAGGACGTGAAGCATTAGTTGCAGAAGATAAAGGAATGCATCCTTAGGTCTGGATTGCATCGCAATGTCAGGAAAACAAAGATTCCTACCACAGGACCAGTAGGCATCAACGTGATCTATGGAGAGGAAATTGAAACAGTCAACAACTTCATCTTGCTTGATTCCATAATTAACTCCCTAGGTACTAGCAGTCAGGTAATAACGAGACACATTGTACTGGGGAAATCTGCAATTAAGGAACCTCTCCAAATTATTGAGGAGTCTTGATGTCAGTTTGAAGACTAAGGTGTGTCTCATTCAGGCCATAGTCTTTCTGATTACTAGCTGTGGATCCAAGAGCTGGACAGTGAATAAGATTACAGAAAAAGAATTGATGCCTTTGACCTGTGGTGTTGGAGAAGAGCACTAAACATCCATGGACGGCCAAGAGAACAAACAGACATATCTTGGAGAGGATGCAGCTGGAGTGCTCTTTGGTGCAACTGGAGTGCTGTTTGGAGGCAAGAATGATGAGGCTTCTCCTCACCTACTTTGGACATATTACCAGAAGATGCTATTCCTTGAAAAAGGATATGATGCTGGGAAGGGTGGAGGGTCAACGAAAGAGAGGAATACCCTGAACCAGATGGATTGACACGATGACTGTTGCAATTGGTTCTTGTGTGTCAGGAAGTGTGAGGATGGCGCAGGATAGAACAGGGTTCAGATCTTTTGTTCATAGAGTTGCTATCAGTCATACTTGACTCAATGGCACCTAGCAGTAACAACATGCTGAGTTTTGCTTACCTTCAGAGACTTGATGTTGGTTCTGGGGCCTGTCCTCAACTCTCTTGTCTATTTACCCTTGCTCCAGAGATGATCCTGCCATTTCAGATATCATCTAAAGGTTGGTGACTTCCAAGTTTATATTGTCACTCCTAACTTTTCCCTAGAACTCTACTTGTCTTATAGGTTTCTTATCAAGTCCCTAAGCAAGGTCCAGTTTTTCTCTTAAAAACCTTCTTCAGCTAGTCATTACAAACTCTGGAGTTGTGTTTGATTTTTTTCCTTTCAAACTCCACATCCAACTTAACAACAAAAATGTATTTATTATCTGACAGCTTTACCACTAGAGTTATCACTAATACCGCCCTACTTCAAGCCAACATTATCTCAACTGTACCTCCCAATCAACAGCCTCTCCGGTAATCTTTCTCCCCCCACCCCGCCCCCCAAGTCTGTTCAGCATTTAGTAGCCAGATTTTACTTTGCATAAAACTTTCCAGTGGTATCTCAGCCTCTTTTTTACTATGCCCTTCAAAGTTCTGCCTGCTCAGGTTCTGCCTGTTAACTCTCTCTACAACTTCAAATTCCTTAACTATGCCAAGTTTATTCCCACCTCAAGCCCTTTCTCTTCCCTAATACCCATTACCTACATTTTCACAGGTTTTCTCTATTACTATTCAGGGTTTTCTCAGCTTAACCATTAATTTCCCAAACAGCCCTTTAGACCATTCTCTTTAAAATAAAGTTTTCATCTCTGCTTTTTTAATTTCACCATATCACCTTTGGATTTAATATATGTAGATTTGTTTAATAATTCTTCCTTAGTGAGAATGTAACATCATTAAGGATAAATGCTTTATCTTATATATTTTTTGTTATTTTACCATAGAAAGGCTTAGTAAAAGACAAAGACATAATCAGTTGTATTTTTAAGTTCAGCATATTTGTTGATCCAAGTACAAAAAATTTAGTCATTTTTAAGCAGGACCTATTTTCTGTTCCTAGCACCTCCCTCGTATTAATGATTTTGCTGCAGGATAATTGTTGAAAGATTCTTGGAGGAGGAAGAAAATCAAGTGCCTAAAGAATTTTTAAATTAATGTAAATTTGAGTGTTGCCAACTGGCATTGTGTGAGAAAGATGTTTTTAAAATTAAATTGCTTCGTTTTTCCATACTTTGTAAAGAATTATGGGGAAAAAAAATTAAGGTTCTGTGTAAGTAAAGTGCATTATTTAAGAATAGTTGGTGGGGGCAGGAAGTAACATAATATAGGCTCTTATGTGTACCTTTAAGGAGCCCTGGTGGCATGGTGATTAAAGCACTGAATTTTCCTCGTCCGTTTGCTTTTGGAAAGGATTATAGCCTTGGAAACTCTGTATGTCAGTTCTGCCCTGTCTCCTAAGATCTCTGTGAGCTAGAATAAATGTGACAGCAGTGAGTTGGATTTGGGGAAAGTGAGTGTTTAATAAACTGTCAGAACTCAATGTTTTGGGTCCCCAAACCTGTAGAGCTCAATTCTAGTGGTTTTCTTCCAGAAGCAGGATGAAAAACCTATGAACTGAAAGAATTTCACCAGTCTAAAGATGTATAGGCAGGCTGTTATAAAATGTCTTCTGAGAGTTCGGTATTGACCTTCTATATTCCAGCCTCCAGTAGTGGTGCAATTATTTTTAACTGTAAAGATTTTATTGTAATAATTGTGCTTAATTTGTTATTGTGTACTCTCTATTTGGAACGAATCCATACCTGACCTTCTAGCAGGTTTTCAGAAATAGTAAAATCACACTAGAGGAGACTGCCCATCTTTCTCACATGGAGCTACTAGTGGATTCCAGCCACATGCCTCTAGATTAGCAGTGCAGCTCCTTACCACCACGCCACAAGAGCTCCCTTGTGCTTAATTTATTTATTCCTCTTAAGTTCTTGACATTTCCTATTACTGTTTTATGAAACTATTGTAGATATCAGTATCTAAAAATTCATTGCTATCAATTCAAAGCCAACTCCTAGCTGACCGTCCAGCTGGTTTTTAGAGGCTGTAAGTCACAAGGGAGAGATTGTCCATCTCCTGTGGAGCGGCTGCTGGACTCTAACCCCAGACAGGTGCTGTCCATGCTGGCTATGTACCAGTTCTCTCTAACCATCGGTTTAAGGTTGTAAACCTTTGGGTTATTTCCCTTAATTGGTACTAGAAATTATTTTATGGTTTTTTTACTGGTCAGAATTTTTACAGTTTTCTGATTTTTCTTATAAATGCCTCTTGCTATTACCAGTAAGTATGGTTATATTTACTGGTATATATGGTATAGTATAATTTTTATTTATTATAATATAGATATTGGTATTTATATAATTATATAAAAATTATAAATGATAGAAAATATACTTTTATTGTCTTATATGATTATTATATTTTATATCATTATGCTATATAAAATGCATAATTTTTAGAAACTGATATTTACAAGTTTCATAAAATAGAACATTTGATAATTGTGTTTTTCATTTTGTTCTTTTTCTTTTAAATGATAGTGGCTTAAAGCTTAAACTATCTTGCATTCCTTTGGTTAACTCTGCCTTGTCAAAATGAAGTATATGCTTGAAAAATTCTTACTTTTTACTATGGAAAAAAATTATAAAGCAACCTGTCATGTTATTTTAGAGGATTGATGGGTAGAATGTGCCAGGCTCCATCGCATTGTTTGAAAGGCCAGGGTTTATTTTATTAATAGGTTTTTGTTATTTTACAAATTCTGTGTTGTAGCTTACTTTTTTAACAGCATTCTTCAGTCTCCTTAAAATGAATATGTCACGTTGGCAAACTTAATTTTCATTTTTTTAATAGCATTGCTTTGAAATTTCGTTTTACTCTTGGTGTTTTTACTGTCTATCAATTACTTGATGTAGCAGAGATAATAAATTATGATATTATAAACTGCTGTCATTTAGAAAAGCTTGGATAATGGCTATAAATTTTTTTCCCCCCCAGAGATTCCAGACATTGTAGATAGAAATAATCTGAAAACTTTCAGGTGAGTCTGTTTCTTGTCTTTTGGTTGGTTTTGTTTTTTTTAATTTTTATTTTATATTGGTTTGAATATGAAATTCATATACATTGTGTTTTATACTTTCCTTCATTGACATTGTGTTCATACAATCATTCCCATACATTGTGTTTTATAAAATTAACACCGTTGAACTATGCTCATCATGACCAACCCTGTCTTTTCAGTTCCCCAGCAGATCTTTCCCATTTCCTTTACCTTTTCCCTCTACCTACCAAACTGTGTGACCTTGTGTTTTGAAGAAAGATGAGCTTTCTTCATTGGAGTCTAGATTTTACAGCTAAAAGGAAAACATGAACTTTTTAACCTTTCCTTTTTGTGAAGGGTAAAGATTTTTCAATGTTTTCATTAAAAACTCTTGAAAAACATTGAAATGATCGGTATTTTAAAATAATATGGTGCTCCAAAAAGCAAAATGACAGTCCTACCAAAAGCAATCTGCATTTTTAACACAATCCAGTACAGATAACAAATTCACACTTTCAAAGAGAAAATGCAATTGTCAAGTTTATTTGGAGAGGAAAGAGACCTCAAATAAGTGAAGCACCAAAAATGAAGTGGGAGACATAGCACTCAGCTGTTCTCAAAATCGGCTGGTCATGGTGTTAGATGCTGTTGAGTCAAGTACCACTCATAGTGACTTCATGACCAAAGATCTGAACCCTGTTTTATCCTGTGCCATCCTCACACCTCCTGACATACAAGAGCCCGTTATGACAGTCACCATGTCAGTCGATCTGGTTGAGGGTTTTCCTCTCCTTTGCTGACCCTCCACTGTTCCCATCAGCATGTCCGTCTCTAAGGAATAGCCCTTCCTAGCAACATGCCCAAAGTATGTGAGGTGAAGCCTCTTCATTCTTGCCTCCAGAGAGCACTCCAGTTGCACCCTCTCCAAAACTTACCCGTTTGTTTCTTGGCCATCCATGGGATGTTCAGTGCTCTCCTCCAACACCACAGCTCATAGGTGTCTATGATGCATAGTTAGTAATCAGAATGTCCGTGGCCTGAATCAGACACACCTTAGTCCTCAAACTTACATTATTCTTCAGTAATTTGGAGAGGTCCCTAACTGAAGATTTTCCTCATGCAACGTGTCTCCTTTATTCCTGACTGCTGGTACCAAGTATGTTAATTGTGAATCCATGCAAGATGAAGCTGTTGACAGTTTTCAGTCTCCTCTCCATCCATAATGCTGCTGCTATTCGCCCAGTGGTAAGAATCTTTTGTTTTCTTGACATTAAGATGCAATCCATACCAAAGTCTACCTTTCTTGATCTTCTGCAAGAAGTTCTTTAAGTCCACCTCACTTTCAGTAAGCAATGTGGTATTTGCATAATTCAGGCTATCGACAGGTCTCCCTTCAATCTTGATGCCACACTCCTCTTCATAGTGTCCAGCTTCTTGGATAATTTGCTCAGCATACAGATTGAATAGGTATGGAGAGAAGGCAACTTCCTGGACTCCCTTCTCAGTTTTAAACCGTGCAGTGTTTCCCTGCTCTGTTTGCATGACAACCTCCTGGTCTAGGTACCGTTTCCCCATGAGCACAATTAAGTGCACTTGGACTCCCATTCCTCTCATGTGATGAACACCATAGAAATCAGATTGACTACATTTGTTGAAGAAATAGTTGGAGAAGCTCAATATCGTCAGTCAGAACAAGGCCAGAGGTGGGCTGTGGATCATACCACCAGAACTAAGCGAGGAGTGGGCTGTGGGTCAAACCATCAGTTGCTCATATGTAAGTTGAATCTGAGGCCAAAGAAAATAAATCCATAGGAACCAAGATAATAATCTTGAGTAAATGCCATCTGAATTTTAGGGTCATTTTAGGAATAGGTTTGAGGCATTGAACACCAGTGATCAAAGACCAGATAAGTGGTGGGACGATACCAAGGATATCATCCATGAAGAAAGCAAAAGGTCATTAAAAATATAGAGGAGAAAGAAAAAAAAATCTAAATGTCAGAATAGACTAAATTTGCACAGTAATGTCGAGGAACCACATCAAAAGGAAAGCATGCCAAAGTAAAAGACCTGAACAGAGGATTTCAAAGGCCAGTTCCTGAGAACAAAGCAAAGTATTATAATGCAAAACCTACTACACAGCTGTAATCAAAACAGCATGGTACTGGAACAGTAACAAGGCACATAGACCAATGGAACAGAATAGAGAATCCAGAAATTAACTCAGCTGTCTATGGTCAACTTATATTAGCCAAGGAAACCATTCTCATCAAATTGGGAATTGACAGCCTCTTAACAAATAGCACTGGCAAAGCTTGACGAGTACCTGCAGAGAGCTGAAGCAGGATCCACTTCTCACACCATACACAAAAATCAACTCAAGGTGGATCAGAGGCCTAGGGGTAAAGCCCAAAACCATAAAGATCATGGAGACAAAATAGGACCAAGCTTAGAAGGCCTAGTCCATGGTATACAAAGTCTGACAAATACAGTCAGAATATACAACTAAGAGAGGATAAAATTGATGAATGGGATCTTCTAAAGATTAAATCCCTGTGTATATAAAAACTTTTTCTAACAAGGTGAAAAGAAAACCTACTTACTGGGGAAAAAAAACCCATTTGGCAATACTATCTCAGACAGGGTCTTATTAACAAAAATTTACAGAATCTTATAAGGCCTCCACAAGAAAAATAGTGATAACTCAATTACAAAATGGCAAAAGACGTAGAAAGACATTTCACAGAGGAAGATACTTGGACAACAGACACATGAGGAAGTGCTCAAAATCACTGGCAATAAGAAAGTTGCAAATCAAAATCACAATGAGATACCATCTCACTCTATCAGCAGTGGTAAAGTTTAGCAGGACAACAAGCAATAAATGTGGAGAGTTAGGAACTCTCATACACTATTGGTGGGATTGTAAAATGATGCAACTACTCTGGAAGGCAGTTTGGCTTTTCTTCTAAAAGCTGAAATTCCTTATGACCCAGTTGTCCTGCTGCTTAGAATATAGCCCATGAAACTTAGAACTGAGACACAAATGGAAATTTGTACACCATTATTCATAGCAGCATTATTCACCCTCACAAGAACATGGAAACAGCCGAAATGTCCAACCACAAATGAATGGATTGAAAAATTATGGTGTATCACACAATGGAATATAACACAGCACTGAGGATTTAAAAAATTACTGCATAACATGGGACCGTTTGGAGAACATTATGCAGAGTGAACTAACTCAGTCTCGTAAGGACAAGTACTGTATAAGAACATTATTGTAGAAATAGATAACAAAATGTATGAGGATCCAAGGGGGAGATGGTAGGAGAAGAAGGATCAGAATGGGAAGGAGAGAAATCATCAGGTCACCAAATTTGATAGGTGGAGGGAGAAGTGGGTAAATAGGAAAGAGCCAGTGGGGATCTTGAAAGACAGGCTAATAGTGCCGCAATTCAATATTGATTAATTTTATAAAATATAATATGAGTGGGAATGATTGTGTGAAACACAATGTGAATGAAGGATAGTGTGAGACTCAATATATACAACTTTGTAAGCAAATCAATATAATTATTTTTTTAAAAATAATCTCATTTTAAATGCATATTTAAACGTTTATTTTCTAGCTCATATATAACATGTATTCATTACTTGAATACACGCAATTTAAGATTTTTTTGTACTTTTGTCGGCAGTGTTTTTACATCTTTTACCTATTAATCAAATTTATCAATATTCCCTTGTTTCTAAGGCAGTGAAAGTTTTACCTCTTCCTAAGAAGCTAGAAATGAGAATTTAGTATAACCTTTCTAGGAATGTTCGTTCAACTTCAGTTCTTGCAGTAATCTTTGTGATGCACCTAAAGTAGTTTGAGTATAAAGTTTATCACAAAAAAGTGCTGCTGATGAAAAATGGGGAGTTGGTTTCTTTTTTAATTGTGAGAGTAAAATTTGATTTCCAAAGCATAACTGTAGTGTATCACTTTGTGTGAAAAAACCCAACCTCTTTTTGCAGATGAGTAGATATGATACAGGTCTTGTTTTTGAAATTGTTAATGTCATATAAGCTGATGGGAATACTCAGGAAATGTAAAGGAGTAAAATAGATCTGCTTTGTATCTTCTGCCTAGTATTTTCTTGCATTGCTTTTGATTATGCATTTCCTTTTAGTATAAATTAACAAGAAAATAAATATATTCAAAAAAAGCATCAGTTCTCAGGACATTTTTTCCTAGTACATTTGTTTTTGTATTTCTAGTCCATTGCAATCTGCTGTTCTTTCAGAGTTTTTAATATTGACTGTCTCTTTCCACCAACTTTCTTTTTAACTAGGGAATGGGATTTTGATCTGAAGAAATTGCCTAACATTAAAATGAGAAAAATCTGTGCTAATGATGCAATTCCCAAGAAGTGCAAGAAGAAAAATATTACAAACGTAGACAAAGCTTTAGGAGAATTGGAACTAAAAGTGGAATGCAAGAAGAAAAATGTTACAAGCGTAGACAAAGCTTTAGGAGAATTGGAACTAAAAGCGGAATCCAGTGACTCTGATGAGGAAATGACTCCAGTAACCTAATTGACTTTCATTGAACTGAGGATGCATCATTTGAGAGTTCAAGTTATACTTACTGTCTATATGTGAGAATTTGCTGTTTAACTTACTCCTTTATATGAAGATGATCTTGTTTGCAGTTTAAAAAAAATTACTATTTTTGGTTAAACTAGTAAAGTGATGAAAAGAAATGAGCTTTCTTTATTAAGTTGTTAAAACAAGGAAAGTAATCGACAAAATCTATTTGACTTCTCTAGAGGTAGGAATAGATACAAATTAGCACAGAAAATACACATACACATATTCCCCCCTCTTAATTTATTTAGGAGTGCTTAACCCAATAGCAGTGGGTTTTATCCTTATGTATGAAGCCATGGATAGCACTTTGTTTTCTTAAATGTCGTGTTAATATCTTTTGAACTGTTAGGATAGCAGTAATTTCTTTCACTGCTAATCTCATGCTGACTTTCCTCTTAAACATTAATATTTTTTAT